TTAATCCCAGCACTCGGGAGGCAGAGGCAGGTGGATCTCTGTGAGTTTGAGGCCAGCCTGGGCTACCAAGTGAGTTCCAGGACAACCAGAGCTACACAGAGAAACCCTGTCTCAAAAACAAAACAAAACAAAACAAAACAAAACACACACACACACACACACACACACACACACACACATACACACACACGAAAACAAACAAAACAAGACCAAAGCAAACAAACAACAAAAGAAACCCCCCAGAAATTAAAAAAAAAAAAACCAAACAAAAAACAACCCCTCCAAAAAAGCAAAAAGCAAACAAAATAAAACCCTTGAAAAATTCAAATGAAAGTCTATATGTATGCCAAAGGGGTTTTGGGACTCCCTGAAAGGACAAATGTCCCTAATAGGAACTCATTCATGCTTTTCTTCATAGGATAATAATAAAGTACATGTCAACTACAATTTTACTATCATCTACATATTAATTTTTAAATACGGTTGGTGTTTTGCCTGCATGGGTGCCTCTCTGCACCATCTAGGTAGGTCCACTATCATTTAACCACATTGTTATCCTTTAAAACCCACCAAGAACCTATGTGGGTTCAATCCCCCGCCCAACAAGTCCTTTAAATACTCTGGTTAAGGCAGAAACCGGTACATGGTGGGGCTGGAGAGATGGCTCAGCAGATAACGATACTCGCTGCCCAGCCTCACAACTTGAGTTTCATCCCACCCGTGGAAGGAGGGAACTGACTCCCATACTTATCCTCTGACCTCCAGATGGAGCCCGTGTGCAGGTGGCTCACATTTTCATACCCAGAATTCAGGAGGCAGAGTTGGGCAGATCTCTACGAATTTAAGGCCAGCCAGGGGTACACAGTGAGACTCCGTCTCCAAAAAAAGATCGGAAATTTTTTTTAAAGAAAATTTAAATCCTTTTAGTGCTGGAGAGATGGCTCAGCAGTTAAGAGCATTTGCTGCTATTGCAAAGGACCTGGGTTCAGTTCCCAGTATCCACATCCACATCCTCCAGTTACAGGGAACCCAACAACCTCTTCTGCCTTCGGAAGGCATTCTGAAGCATGTAGCAAACACACACACACACACACACACACACACACACACACACACACACCTTCGTAAATAGAAAAATGTCCATACATGTCTTCTAAATAGCTGTGTCTTTTGCACTGATTTTTTTCCCCTTGTGAGTATGCAAAAAAAAAAAATCCAAAATAACAGGAGATGATACGATGATAATATTATGCACTTGATGACAGGTCCTGGGCACTGGGCACTGTACTCTCTTTTTCTTAATTTATTTATCCAAGAGTTTGTGAAGTCCAACACGTACTAGTGATCAGAATGATACTTCTCAGATTACTGGCAGGGAAACTGAGGCATGGAGAATCAGTCATTGGTCACGGACACGAAGTACCAGTATTCCCATCTGGTCTGCCGATGCCAGCCCACTCTTTGTCTCCCATCCAGAGGCCTTCCGTGGGCATATCTCCAGGCTTGCCCATGCTCTCTGGCTCAGGGGATTTAGGGTCAGTGGTGGGAACCTGGGCGGCAGGGATGGTAGTTAGAGCAGCCTGTTAGAACAGAAAGGTCAGGCTGGGGAGGTGGCCACCTGGGCCTGCGGGGAGGAGCCGGAGAGGGGGCCCCTCAGGCCTCCAGCCTGTCACAGCCCTCCCCCCAAGCTCACTGATGATCCGGGGAGCTTTGCACCTCTCCATTTAGCAACGACTGCTTCACGGGGTCACCCAGAGTGACCTCAACACACAGGTGTGGCAGGGGACAGTCCAGGCCTGGCGCTAGGGTGTACACACATACACACACCACTCCCCTCTTTAAAGCTGAACCCTGGGAACCAAGCCTTCCTCCTCCGGTCCCGCTCACTGCCAGCCCCCAGGGCTCCTCCCGTGACCCTTTCCTGACCTTGCTGTTTCCTGGCTGGTCTTGGGGTCTCTGATGAATGTGCCTCCGTGCCTCAGTTTCCTTCCGTGTGATGTAGAGAGACGCTTTAAGGGTCGCCAAGATGGTTCAGTCAGTGAAGGTGTTTGCTTCCAGGCCTGACAGCCGGAGTTCGATCCAGAGGACCCGCACCACGGTGGAAAGAGGGCACCAACTCCAGCAAGCTTTCCTCTCGTTTGCCATGTCACACAGGCACACCTCCCCCTAAATAAATAAATGTGACCAGCAACCCGATTTCTCAAATAACGGAGGCCCTTCGGGTACCTTTTCCTCTTCGAATCTTACCCTTTCTCCCCAGGAGCAGCCACTAGCTTCAAGGAGGTGTCGGCAACTCTTGGCTTTACAATGGAAACGATTTTGCTCCATTTTGCTCCATGTGAATAAATCTGTCACTGCCATAGGGTGTCATGTTGCCTGTTTTTCAATTTTGTATAAATAGCATCCTGTTTTGACCTTCCGTGACTGGCTTTGACCCCCAGCAGCTCAACAAAACATTCATGAGTTGCGTTTCTTCCCTTCCAAGAGAGTCTCCGAGTCTGGCATGTGACACACGGTCTCTGATGCACTCTGATGCTGAGGATGGGACACGAAGCTCCCAGTCAATCCCATGCTCTCATCAGCAGGGGTGGCAAGGGCTGCCTGAACATGTTGCTGCTTGCTAATATCTTCCCCCATCTGCAAGAAGTGACACATTTTCACCAGCCTTGGCCTTGAAGGAGAATTCCCCAGTCAGAGGAGGAAGACTTTCTTGGCCACACAGCCCTCTCGTCTGACTTTAGGCTTTGTATTATTACTTTTTGAGGTCACAGGCCGGCTTGACAATCTGAGGAAAACTAAATGTTGTTGCAATCTCTGACAAAGGCCTGATAAGCCCGTCAGGACTTGGCGCATGACTGATCCAACTTGAGGACCCTGGAAAATAGACGTTTGATCTATTTTCCAAGACTGAAGATCCAACTTGGAGGAGTTGGAAAGGTGGTTCAGTGGTTAAGGACTCTTGCTGTTGGTGTAGAGGATCTATGTTTGGTTCTCAGCACCTGTATTGGGTAACTCACTTCTGCCTGTAACTCCAGCTCTGGGGATCCAACGCCCTCTTCTGGCCTCTGCAGGGACTGAACTCTCTCTCTCTCTCTCTCTCTCTCTCTCTCTCTCTCTCTCTCTCTCTCTCTCTCTCACACACACACACACACACACACACAAATCTTTACAAAATCATAATGATAATAATTGACTAATAAAAGTGGGCTGAGGGCCGAATGGTGGTGGTGCATGTCTCTAATCCCAGCATGTGGGAGGCACAGGCAGGCGGATCTCTGTGAGTTCGAGGCCAGATCTCTATGAGTTACTGGTCTACAAAGCGAGTTCTAGGACAGATCGCCAGGACTGTTACACAGAGAAACCTTGTCTCGAAACCAAGCAAGGAAATAGCTCAACAGGAGAGCATTTGTTTGGCAAGTGTTGCATTCCCAGCACCAATAATAAGACAAAAAAAAAGAAAGAAAAGATAACAAAATAACCTATTACAGTTTGTTTATTTGAGACAGAGTGTTACTCTGTAACCTAGGCTAACCTCAGGTGATCCACCTGTATAAACACACACACACACACACACACACACACACACACACACACACACACACACGACAAATCTATGCTAGGCAAGCTCCAGCCAGACATGAGCCGGATGTTGCTGTTGGTCTTGAGTTCAATGTCAATGAAGCAACAGTCCGTATTTATGGGGCCAGTGAGACGGCTCAACCAGTTTACTGGCCAGCAAATCTGATGGCC